CTGCAACATCGGACCCCCGTCATCACTTTGACTGGAACACTTTCCACTCCTCCAATCAGATTTTCAACGAATTCGCGCAAGTGTGAAGTAGCTCAGAGTCCGCTATTATGCCCGCGCTTGCATACAATTCCGTTGTCACTTCCCTCCCATCCCGGAAGTTGGCTTTTGAACTCCGTAAAATTCGGTACACAGAGCAGTCACAGTGGGTCTTAAAACTTTGAAAAGACCCGAGCGCTGCGACGCGAAAAATTTCCTGCTCTCTCCCTTTGAAAATGCGTTTCTGACGTAATCTTTTGCGCTCTAATCTCCTTAAAAGTCTCTTACGTCATGTTTCAGGATGCAATCTACTGCTCGGTGGGACGCAAATGGCCTGAGAAGGGACTGTCCCCCTGAATCGGTGGTGCAAATTTCAACGAGAATGCGACGACCAGCGCTCGTCTGGTGACAAAAATTTACTCTGTTCCGTAATACTTTTTTTTTTAACGAGTAATCCTCAGATACTCGTTGCCGGGGTGTGCACTGCGCTGAGGGACGCTCCATCAGAGGTGATTGGAGGAAGATGCTGTAAATAACGCTGTAACCATCCGCCCACTGAGTGAAGTGAAGTGAACGAGGTCACGTAATCCTGAAGCACAATGGCACTTCTGTTTGTCGTTATCGTTATTCTCGTTACAACTGCAATGTCACTGCCGCCTGTCATACGAATTGGTGAGTACAGCGGCATTTGTCAATAACCAGATGAACGCTTTTTTCAGCGGTTGGTAGTTGCGGAAGTTGGGGGTGAATGTTAATTAATTAGTCGATGGGAAATCGTAAAAAGTTCGGAATCGAAGGTGATTCGGGGCCCGCGGGGGGAGGGGAGAGTTTGGAACTTTTTTCTCGATGAAAATTATAAATTTGTCCCGGCGTTATTCAAGACTTTTAATTAGGGTTTTTCTCGTTTTTAATGGCGAACTTGTTTTCAAGTTTCGCTATTTTTAGGGGATGTTCTTGAAATTTTGAAATTGTTAATTGAATTTTTTTTTCTGATAAAAAATATTGTGAGAAGTTATTTAAGAGGTTAAAGGAGGTTTTTCGTTTTTGAGGCCTATCTTATTTTCATGTTTCTCATTTTTTAACGGACAGTCTTGAAATTTTGAAATTCTTAATGGAAAAAATTTTTTTTCCATAAAAAAATTATAAATTCCTGGATTATTTAAGACTATTATTTATTTTTTTAATTTTTAATGTCGATCTTATTATCATAATTTTCAATTTTTGAGGGACATTATTGAAATTTTGAAATCACTCATTGAAAATTTAAAGTTTAAAGTCGAAAATTGAAATAAATTAACAATTAAAATAGATAACATTTTTCTTAAATTCAAATTATTGAAAGAATTTGCTCCTTCATTACGAATTCCCAAAATTCCGAGATATTTTCTTTATTCCACCTGTTAACGCCCCGAAAATCTCCAAGTTTGGTCGAATCACCTGAGTCTGAACGTGAGTGGAATCGAGGGTGGTAAACTTTACGACAGAATGTCAAAGCCGTCGTGCCCATCAGCATCAGGGAGAAATTCGTTCGATTTAAGCTCTCAGTGTAATATCCCGGCCTGTTTAGTCTCTCGTGTGCATCTTCCCGAGGCAGGCAACTTGTGAAATACGAACAATTCAAAAGTTTAAATGAAATACGGAGGCTCTGGATTAAAATGGTGGAAAAATTGCTTGAGAATTGTTTCTTCAAGGAACAATTCACTCCAAACTTCTGGATAAATACGTGAAAGTGGATGCGCTTTTCACGGTATTTTACTTATAAATATTAAACAGGCATAATGCAAGGTTTGAGAGATGTCTTAATCCGTTTCAATTAAATTTAAAAAATGGATGAGGTATTTGGAAAAAAATGAGGCATCATTACCTAGAATGTCTGGAATGCGTGTCAAAAATGATAATTTCATGGAAAATTTGGTAGTAATTCTCATGAATGTGACATTAAAAAATTATGAATTACGAAAAAATTATGAAACGTTGAAAAGATTTTTCAAATGAGAAACGAGCGACACAAAATTATCGAAGGGGAAAATACATTCTAGCCGTTAACAATATCAAAATTTTTAAAACAAAGAAAATGAATTTTCACGGAATAATTGAACAAAAAAATCAAGTATTTTATTGATTTTCAGACCATTCAAACGCAAAATCAATGAAATATCTGATTTTTCAGTGACAAAATTTCCTGAAATTTCGCTGGAAATTAAACACGACAGAAATGTCCGGCATTTGACATTTTCCGCGCGTATTTTTGCCGTGTGACCACAACATTGATTAAACGTTCACACGGTGAAATGAACCAGAACACTCGACAAAGACGAGCACCCGAAGGAGGTCTAAACTTCCCGTCGATTTAATTGGACGAATTTCAATGAGGCCGCACTGCCGCTGAGAAACTCCATCGTAATTTCCGAAGTAAGCGAACATCGCAAAGAAGCCACGAAACTCGAAATACTCGGACTGCGTTTGGAATGGTCGGGGGGAGGTTACGGAAAAGAGGTTATGGCTGGGGGGCAAACAAAGCGATGGAACTTCTGTCTTTTTTTGGGATAATACGAGCTTCTGGAGTCACGATATAATTCCGACGGAAAAATGTGAAACCGTATATTGCCAACAGTGACACAGATTTGCCCGCCGGTTCCTCCGTCTGTTTTTCCCCTTTTTTCGGCGAACAAAAGTTCCGGAAGACCCGGGTTATGGATAATGACGTTTTAATTAGTTCAACTGGGCTGGCCTGAACTTCTGAGCCTCGCGGTGTATTTTTAGGGAATAGACGAACGCGCGGCTCTCGAGGGCGGGGGAGTCAAATCCCCCGTTGATAATTGCAGACGCAGCAGAGCGGAATTGAAATGGATCAGAGAGATAATTGAAGTGTTTAGGGAAGAAAGATGTAATCTTCGCAATCTCAGTTGGAAATCGAGAATCGAAATCATCGATTTCGAACTGACGGATTAGGGTGATTATGAGGATTTAGTCTCGGCTAATTGTTTGTTGGAAAAATTAATGAGAGGGATAAATGGAAAATTAGATAAATGAGAATTAGTTAATGAAATCAGGGGAGGCCATCCAAATTCCATTTCCGAAATCGTGAAATAAAAGGTTTTCGTGTTCACGGAATTATTCTATTGAGGATTGACTGAAATTGAACTAAGATTCCGCCAGATTGAGAAACTTCGTCCCTCTCAAGTACATAACCACTCAAAGTGGAGTAAAATTTAGAACCTCAAGATAAACAACTTTTCTAATTAAAATATTCTCGGAATATCGAAAAACTTGGATGAACCTTCCCTCATCACTGATGATCTCCGGTTCGAAGGGAGTGAAGCTTCTACCGATATTTTATAAAATGCGGTAGCTATGCGAAGAAATTTGCGGCAAGTTTATGCAAAAATTCGTACAACGCATTCACCCATTTATTTCTCCTGAATTTTCCTGATTTTTATCAATTTTCATGAGATAATTTCAGTGAAATTTACAGATTCCATGAAAATTTAACTCAAGATAAATAACTTTTTTAATTAAAATATTCTTAAAATGTCGAAAAACTTGGATGAACCTTTCCTGGAGTGAAGCTTCCACCGATATTTTATAAAATACCGTAATTATGCAAAAAAAATTCCGCAAGCTTCTCAAGAAAATCCGTACAACGTAATTAATTATTTGGTTGATTGAAAATTGATTGAAAATTTCAGAATGTATTCACCTGAATTTTTTTTATTTTTATAAATGATTTTCATAAGTTCTCCGTGAAATTTTGAGTTTTAAGTAACAAAATTCCTTGAAATTGCAGTGAAATTATCATGTAATAAAAAAGATAAACAACTTTTCTAATTAAACACGCACCAAAAAATTTAATAGAAACACCTGGCGAATTCGCTAGACAATTTTATTTATCATAGATTTTTTCTTTTTCATCAAGAAAAAATCTATGATCTCAATAAAATAATTTGTACAGACAAATCAAATTCTAATTCTATGAACTTATTCAATAGAATATTTTGTACTGAACATTCCAATAGAATCGGCCAAAAACAAATTAAAAAATCAATAGAAATCTAATAGAATTGTCTACCGAATTCGCTAGATATTCCTATAAAATATTTTCATCCACAAAATATTCTCAGAATATCGAAAAGCTTGTACAACCCTTCCCCCTCACCTCCGATCTCCGCGGAGGCCGCGGGATCCCCCAATCCGTTATATTATAAAATACGATAGTAATGCAAAGAAATTTGCGGCAAGCGCCTCAAGAAAATCCTGCACGCCACAATAACTTAGTTCTTCCGAGTCACCCCGAAAGTTCAGCTCGCGTTGACTTTGGCCCGGCGGATTACCGACGCGTGAGGGAGTCAGGGGGTTCGGGGGAGTCTTATGCCACCCATTTACATCCACTCGTGAACAAGGCCTGGCTGTATGCCATAACATTTACATTTTCACGAGATATTCGCATTGTTCCGAGCTCTATAGGTTACTCGGGTCTCGGCTGGGGTGGCGAGGGGCTCCGCGGGGTTCAGATATCGAGAGAATATAAGCCGCCTATCATGGTACAGAGGAAAGAGAACACACCGGAGGGATTTTCAGCGACGAGCTCAGTGGTTAGGTTGGACACTGATAGTAAATCGATTTCTCAGGCCCACATGACCCTTTCCATTTCTCCCCTTAATTCGCATCGTCGGTGGTTTTATTTTTTCGGGTGGGATTCTGCGGGAAGAGCATCGTGGCTCATTGCGGGATGGCATTACGAGGGAATTATCTCGAGGACTTACTGCAATTCCGAAATTGGTTATTTGAGGGGGATAGAAATTGAGGGAACGTTCGAGATGTTTTGAGGAATTTTCTCCGCGGGGATTCGGCGGGGATGGAGGGATTAATTTATTACGGCGTTATTGGAGATTTTTTAGTGCACTACGGCTTCATGATGTATTAATTCAGCAGCGAAACGGTCAAACGGTCAAGTCCATTTTGACTGAGGGGCAGTTTTCGATGGATATCTCGAAATCTGGGGGAGATAGCAAAATTTTTGTCACTACCTTTTTTGTGGCCCAAAATTTGCTCTACAAAAAAGATTATTATGGAAATTTTGATATCTTTCTTGGATTCGGAGATATTCTTCGAATACTCGGGTCAGGAGTGAAGACTCACCGGAATTGAAATCATAAAAACACTAAACACACGAAAAAAACTGAAAATGACGTCAACTTGTGGACTCAAACGTCTTGAAGAGGAGACAATAGTGTCGTCACTGCAAGAAATGGATAAAATTTAAATTTTAAACGCTAATTTTTCCAGTGTTATGGAATTTTTTTTTTTTCATATGGAATATTCAATTTGTCTTCAAATAATTTTCTCCTCGTAATGTTCGAATTTTTTGGACTTGCGGTACTTCAAAAGATTCAAACCCACCACCCATCCCCGATGGCTTGATTAAACCCGGAAGCAGAAAGGCATTTTTCGAAAATTTCAAAAAAATTGTGTCACCTTTGTGCGCCGGAAAACATCGTAATCAGTTTCGAAGCCTCGAGGATGTTTTCCGGATTATTTTTCCCCTCAGAATCATGGGCACATGTTTGTGGATATTTTCGTTACCGCGAGCTACAGATAATATGTGGAGGTACGAAAATATCAGGAATAAAACTATTCGTGCACTCACCCCCCAGCTGGTATTCGGGCGGATG